TATCTAAGAGTGAAAAAAGAATATATCAAAAGAGTGATATACTTAGAGTAAATTTATAATACTCAAAGTATAGTAAAAGTGAGATAGTCTTTTATTTCTGGGAATTGAGTTGCTAAAGTGTAACCGGGTGGTTGCGGAGAGAAGAGAGGTTATCTTCTAGGTGCTTTAGGACTCTAAGGGAAGAAATAAAAGTGGTTAAAATCTTACGGGTTGGACAATCCTAGGCGGAGACGTAGGCCTTTGTGCTGAACTTCGTAACAATTTTCTGTGTCTTTATTATTCATTCTTGCATTTATTTTTACGTTGCTATAACTTATCTCTAGCTGATCAAACAGAAAGTTTCTAACATTCTGATTAGCAATCGTTTTACTTTATAAACAGTTTTCAAAGTCTTGAATTTAAAACTGAGATTAGTTTATTCCGCCTTGAAACTAATCTCAAGACCTTGACGTTTTGTGTTTTGCGAAAATTGCCCATACTCTATCAACCCCCCCTTCTAGAGTATTATTATGTTTATTTCATCACCATTGTGATCCTTTCAAGTACTGTATAATTCGCTTTTAATTCTTCAGAAGCATCTTTTATGGAACAAAACCTTTCCTCTACGATTTTCTTATCTCTATTTAATTATTATAATATAAAAATTTAGAAACACAATGTGATCATATGATCTTAAGTTAATGCTAACTTAATAGTAGCAATTGATATTGTTAGGAAATAAGGGGTGTAATTGTGTTTGATTAATGCGGAACAAGTCAAATTTATGAGAAAACAATAATAAAGATGAATAGGCAACACAAGAATTTATCTGGTTCGGTCAAATTAGAACTACATTCACAAATGGGGGAATCAAGAGCTTCTTCACTATAATAATGGAAAAAGAACGAGAGAATAATATGAGTCTTTAATCTTAATGACTTTATAAGGTATGAACTAATTGAATCAATTATAGAGTCCTTTTATAACACTAGAAAACCCGTATAAAACCTTAAATTGTTCCCTAAGTATACTCAAATAGTCGTAAAGTGAAAAAAACTAATTTTAGGAAGCTTTCCATATACTATGAGATGGCACTGATTAGGCTCAAATTATTAAATGCACAAACTCTTGTTCGTCCAATCTGGCCGGGCGAACCTATCCCGTCGGGAGCACAAACATGTAATTTGAAATCTTATACTACTAATTTAAGCTTCCTTTGTTCACCTTGGAAGCCAGGGAAAACTCCGCCCTTTAGACGACCACGAATAAAAAATAACTTCGTAGTTAATACTCGATATTGTTAGAGAATATTATGACTGTAAATTAAGTAGGCGGTATTGTAAATTAATTAGGCGGTATTCCTTGGTAGCTGATAATTTATTACTCATTGTACTAAAACTTCCCTTTAAATATTGCTATAAACCGGTTAATAAAATATACAGAAAAAAAACCCCCAAAAAACTCTTTGTTTTAACTTGGTATCAGAGCAAGGTTGTTTTCAGCAACCGGAAAAACTTCGGCTTCATCATTTACCATGGAAAACACAAACCAAACCATTGTTTCAAAACCAGTTACAATGGAAGACTGGTAACCCAGTTAAACACCAACAAATCAACCACCGAAACATCAAACCAACCAATTCAGATTTCCGAAAAATTGAACCACGGAAATTATACAAAATGGGCCAAGCTAATGCAACTCGGAATTGGAGGGAGAGGAAGGCTCCGTCACATCACAGACCCTCCTCCACCTCCTGAAGATCCCGAGTACTCAAAGTGGGTTTAAAGGGACTCCATTGTTATTTCGTGGGTAATTGAGAATATTAAACCGAAATTACAAAACCAGTTCCTTGATTACCTAACAGCAAGAGAATTATGGAAAAGCATCGAAACCATGTACGGCAGTGGAATGGACGGACTGCAAATCTTTGATCTCACGATTAAAGCAAATAAAATACAACAAGGCTCAGACCCGATTGAGGTGTATTATAGTAGGCTCACCTCAATTTGGAAAGAAATTGATCGTAGGCTACCAAACCCTATGCAATGCCCAGAAGAAAAACGGTATACAACCGCTTAAATCAACAAAACCGCTTATACCAATTTTAGCGGGACTCGATGAATCCCTTGATAAAGATCGAAGGGACATATTACATTCAGATCCTCTACCCACGGTAGAGGCAGCCTACACAACAATCCGGCGAGAACTTTCCCGGCGAGGGATCATGAAAAATAGCGAAAAACCCTCGATGGGAGATTCGGGACTCGGAAGTGGCCTTGCGGCTAAAGGACGACCGGAGAAACCCAGATTCCGGCGAGAAGACGACTGGGCGAATCTCCGGTGTACCCATTGTGGGGGAACCCGTCACACAAAAGAGGGTTGCTTCAAAATCATTGGGTACCCAGATTGGTGGGCTGACCGGAAAAAGGAAGGGGAAGGCCGACAAAAAAATTCCGGCAAAGCTGCTTACGCCGGCGAAACCACCAGAGGTGATGAAGATGAAGGAGTGGTGGCTAATGCTCAAGGTTCAGGTTTGGAAAGTAGTGAATTAAAAAAGGAAGGTATGGCAAGTAAATCACCTTATGCCTCTTTTTTATATAAATCGTTTTTTGAAGCTTCTCTAAAAAAACCTAACTGCTGGCCAATATAATCAACAGGCCTCCTCAAGCCCACACAACTAAAACAATCCCAGCCCACTAGCCAAATTGCCCTTATTTCCACCCTAAAACAGCCCAAAGAAACTACCAACCAGTCTATAAAAATAAACCAACTTGCTGGACTTGTCGGGAGTCGTGAAAAAAAATTAAGGGGCGACTGATACTATGACTTTCGACATTTCTGACTTGAAAAATATAAGTGTACCCACCAAAATTCATGTTCAAACTGCAAATGGAGAAAAAGTAAAAATAGAAGGATCAGGTTTCACTGAGTTGTCTGATGAAATTAAAATTCCTAACTGCCTCTTTATTCCACAATTATCCCATAAACTCCTTTTAATTAGTCAATTGACTTGAACTGTACTGTTTTAATGAACTCTACTGGGTGTATTGTACAGGATTCTCAAACGGGTAGGAACATTGGGCGTGGTACTGAAGAAGGCGGACTATATTATGTGGATCGGATGTCTCAACATGGCTGCGCTACACTTGCTCACGGATCGGTCGAGCACCAGCTCTGGACATGGCACCGACGATTAGGTCATCCTTCTTTAGGGTATTTAAAGAAACTTTTTCCTTCACTTGCTAAGTTAAACTTTATGTTTAATTGTGAGGCATGTATTTTGGCTAAGAGTCATAAACATATATATCCTAAGAGTAATAGTCAAACTGAAAGACCATTTGTTCTTATCCATTCTGATGTTTGGGGAACAGCTCTCGAATTTACTGATCATAAGTTTCTTTACTATGTTACTTTTATTGATGATTGCACTAGAATGAGTTGGGTGTATTTTTTGAAAAATAAATCTGAGGTTCATGACACCTTTATCTCTTTCTATAACATGGCCCAGACACAATTCCAATCACAAATCCAAATTCTATGATCGGATAATGGGGGAGAATATGTGAATCTAGACCTTACTTCCTTCGCCATAGACAAAGGTCTTATCCACCAAACCACTTGTATCGACACACCACAACAAAATGGTGTGGCTGAAAGGAAAAACCAAACCCTTTTCGAAATGACCAGAGCCATGCTCTTTGAATCCTGTGCTCCGGCTAAATTTTAGCCCGAAGCCATAGCCACAGCCAGTTACCTCACAAACAGACTCCCCACCAAAAGCCTTAACTTTGCCACACCCTTAGCTACCCTCAAAACCCATATGAATGTTCCTGCTGCCATTCTTTATCTCCCCGCGTGTTTGGATGTGTTGTCTATGTCCACCTTCCCAAACGTAGTCCGAACAAATTAGCTCTCCGGGCTGTTAAATGTGTCTTTGTGGGATATGGGATCCGACAAAAAGGGTACCGCTATTTCGACCATGTTACAAAACGACTCTATACCACCATGGATTGTGACTTTGTCAAAACAGAATACTATTATCACCAACATCGATCTTAGGGGGAGAGTTCGAATGAAGATCTAAGTTGGTTAACCTATCTGGAATTGGTTGATCCTGATCAAACAGAGCAAGCAGACAAAGCTACCGAGACGACTGATCACATAATATGGCCCGACCAACCAAGTACACTGCTCCCTAACCGGACTGAGAATCCACCACAGAATGAGGTATGTTCTTTTAAACCATGTGAACCCAAAATTACTAGTCCTTCCTCTGAAGATGAATTTGAGTTGTCAAAAACCTCCCTAGAAATTGTACGGGAGAAAACCTCCGAACCTGTTACTCCTGCCACTACACCTAGAGAAGGAAAATACACTTTACCTTCCAGAAATACAAGGGGCATCCCTCCAAGGCAATACGACCCAGATTTTGAAGCACAACGGTCGAAATACCTAGTTGACAAGACAAGTGGCGGAAACTTGTCTTAGATAGCCAAGGCTTATAATGCAGCCATCTACTCTGAAACCATCCCTAATACTATTGAAGAAGCTCTCCGAAACAGATGTTGGAAGAAGGCAATGGAAGATGAGATCAATGCACTTACCCAAAACTAGACTTGGGAAAAGTGTACATTACCAAAGGGGAAGATGCTAATAGGATGCAGATGGGTATTTACTATAAAATACAAAGTAGACGGTAGCATCGAAAGATACAGGGCAAGGTTGGTGGCAAAAGGGTACACTCAAACTTATGAAATCGACTATGGAGAAACTTTTTCACCAGTTGCAAACTTCAACACCATCAGAGTGTTATTTTCAATTGCTGCAAATAAAGACTGGCCTCTACATCAATTTGATGTAAAAAATGCTTTTTTACATGGAGACTTGGCTGAAGAGGTTTATATGAAAGCTCCACCAGGATTCTCTCAGGATTTTTCAACAAGAGAAGGATGCAGGTTACGGAAGACTTTATATGGCCTAAAACAATCCCCTAGACATGGTTTGGGCGATTCACTGCTGCAATGAGCAGATTTGTGTATAAGCAAAGCAACTCAGATCATACCCTGTTCTTCAAAAGGAGAAAAGGATTAATCACGTGTCTGATCATTTATGTTGATGATATGATCATAACTGGAGATGACAAGGAAGAAATAGCCAAGTTGAAGGGAAAGTTATTCCTAGAATTTGAAATGAAGGACCTTGGAAGTCTTAAATACTTCCTAGGAATTGAGGTACTCAGATCAAAGAAAGGTACCTTCATTTTTCAAAGGAAGTATGTCCTTGATCTTTTGACAGAAACTGGAATGATAGATTGTAAGCCTATAGACACTCCATTGATGATAAATCATGGGCTTCAGATAATCGAAGGGGGAGATTCAGTTGATCGGAAATTATATCAGAGGCTAGTTGGTAAATTAATCTACTTGTCTCATACTCGACCAGATATGGCATATGCAGTCGGAGTAGTCAGCAGATTCATGCATAAACCACAAAAGCAACATCTTGAAGCAGTTTACAGGATCCTGAGATACTTGAAGAAAGCACCTGGAAGAGGAGTTTTATATGAGAAACATGGTCATTTGGACCTCCATGCTTTTACAGACGTTGACTGGGGAGGAGATCGCGATAGCAGGAAATCCACTTCTGGGTATTTTACTCTAGTTGGTGGAAATTTGGTCTCTTGGAAAAGTAAAAGGCAAAAAGTGGTTGCAATGTCCAGTGCTGAAGCAGAATTCAAAGGAATAGGAAAAGGGATCACTGAAGTCCTATGGCTGAGAAAACTAGTATCTGCACTGGGATACAAACCTAAGAAGAGTTGCAAATTGTATTGTGACAACAAGGCTGCAATTTAGATATCAGAAAATCTAGTTCAACATGATCGTACAAAGCATGTGGAAATTAATAGGCATTTTATCAAAGATCATTTAGAAGCAGGAGTGATAAGCCTTCATTTTGTGAGATATGAGGATCAACTAGCAGACATCTTGACCAAGGCAGTTACGTCTCAAACTTTCGAAGGAGCATTGTCCAAGTTGGGAGTCGGAGATCCTACTACCCAACTTGAGGGGGAGTGTTCGAGAATATTACGACTGTAAATTAATTAGGCGGTATTGTAAATTAATTAGGCGGTATTCCTTGGTAGCTGATAATTTATTACTCTGGTAGTTGTTAATTTATTGTACTAAAACTTCTCTATAAATATTGCTATAAACCGGTTAATAAAATATACAGAAAAAACCCCCCCAAAAAACTCTGTCTTTGTTTTAACTGATGTAAGGCATATTTACAAATCTTCACCTTGACTTGAATCCTTACTTTCACACAAACAAAACGATTCAATCTTTGTTTTTGTCATTGATTAAAGAAATAAGTCCATAATTTAGCCTTTTTGAAGTGATTGTTTATTTAAATTTCCGTCTTCCGGTATGTCCCTTTCTTAAGAAAAATTGAGTTTCAGGGTTTCCCCATGTCCACTTATCATTTAAGTAGGGCGATTAACACATATGATGCACGCATATAACTTTTCAAATTTGGAAAGTTTTTCGATTTGGCCTTATGTCATATTTGGAGGTTTTTTTTTCTTTTTTTTTTTTTTTTTTTGTACAGGGTGTAAACAAATTTTTTTAGGAGTTTTTAGAGTATAAATATTTTCATATTATTCTTAAAAGTTTAAAATAATCAATACTAAAGAGGGAAAGTAAGTAAATAAATATTTTTCAGGGTATATAATTCTCCAAATACTATTATAAGAGTTATCTTAAACTGTACATTTAAAAGATACAATCTTTAAAATAAAAAATGCCATTAAAAAATAAGTTAGTACTAACAAAAATATCCAGAAAAAATTGTCATGGACATCAAAACCTAGAATAAATGCTTAGATTCATAGATCAACAAAATAATTTTCATAAGAATAAATAAGTAACAATATTTTGAAATATAATGGCTACCCAACTATTATAGTTGGGTAAATAAGTAACAGTATTTAATATCCAAAAAATCAAAAGCAAAATACCAAAAACAAAACAAATTAATAATTTTCTTATATAGTTCTATAACCGGAATATCAATCGATCTTTTTAACAAGAAGAAAAATTCGAGTAAAAAACCATATAAGAAATATGTGGATTAGGCCTTTATGATGTTACATAGTGGTATACAAAGTATTATATTAGTTGTACATAGCAGGACATGTCAATCACCATAGATTTTTTATGTAGAAAGAAGAAGAGGGTAAAAATAAAGGTGTATGTGTATAGTGTAAGGGTAGGATCGTAGGAGGGGTCATATTGGTTTAAAAGGAGTTAAGAAAAATATTACTCGTATCTTAGTCCGTATGATAGTAGAGATTTTATTACTTGTTAATAATATTTAATACTTTTCCCGCTTTGTTTCAATTAGTGAGAGCCTCATTAAAAAATTTAGGGGTGTACACTGGTCCAAAATCGGACCAGACCTGGACCTGACCTGTTTGGATCGGGACCTGAATCAGTGAATTTTGAGGACCGGAGATCGAACCTGATTCAGCAGGTCCGATTGCGAGTCAGACCTGAAAAATCAGGTCGGTCCAGGTTTGGACTTGAACAGACCTGTTTTGTATTTAATCTTGGATTGATTTCCATGTTTCTTCATTCAAATGCTCGATCAATACCTCAATTATAAACATCACACATACAAATTTCAAGCAATTTCCAACCAAAAATCAAAAACCTTACTCAAATAAATTGTTCACTTTAATACACACAATATACAACAATCAATCACTGTACTTTTAAAAAAACTCCAAATTATAAAATCAATTCAATTCCTAAAGTATTCATACAAAATAGATAGTTCACCAATTCAATTCAAATTAGGTCTACTTACCAGTCCACATAAAGTATTCATATAGAATTCTTAATAAAAAAATTCCTAAATATATAAAAATCATGCAACCCCAGAAAGTAAATTTTACTCACAAGTGTGCTTTGAGTTCTTCGATGCCCAGATTTGCTGCTAGAAATCTTACAGAAAATACCCACCATTTTGAAAAGTTTTTAGCTTTGAATCAATCACTGTACTTTTAAAAAAACTCCAAATTATAAAATCATTTTTTATTAAAACCCTAAAATGAAAATAGGGATAAACCTCAAGGGAATGTTTAAAGAGCCCGGGTTTACGAAGCTCACGAATAAACGATTAAGCTCGTACTTGTTGCATTGCCTTCTTCTTGCGAACAATTAAGCCCCACCTGGAGATGAAGGAGAAGGAGTGGGTGTTGCAGTGGTTTTCTTGCCGGAAGATTCCGACGCTAAATGGTGGTAACGACTGTTGCGGTTGACGCCAAATTGCCGGAAGATTCTTGCCAGAAGTTGCGGTAATGGCTGATGCCGTGGTTTTCTTGCGGTGGTTGTCGCCTTGTCGGTGTTGGTTGCTGCGGTGGTTGTCAGTGTTGGGCGAAGAGAGGAGATTAGATCTAGAGTTTGAGAAGAGAGATGAAAGGAGAGAATTTGAGAAGAGAACTACAACTCTGAAAATTAAATCTAGGATTCTGCTGACTTGTTTTATATATATATATATATATATATATAAGTATATATATATAAGGTCGGGATCCGGTGAGAACCACCTCCTATGTGAGAACTCATCCCATATGTGAGAACAAATCTCAGCCATTAGATTGTATTAATCCAACAGCTGAGATTGTTCAACTAATAATGGCAATAATGTAATTCTTAAAACAAACAAATCAGCCCCAAAACCCAAATTACGTACAATTTGTATACTCCTCTTTCTCTCTCTTTGAAGCTTGAAGGTGGGATTTCTCTCTCCTCTTCTTCACTGCTGCATAATTTCAAGTTCCGAATTGATTTCTCTTATTCGAATTTCTCTTAATTTGATTTTAATTTTGATAATTTCAATCGAATTCCCAAATTTCTTGTTCTGATTTTTGTAATTTTGATAATTTCAAATCATCTTCTTCCAATTTTGATAAGTTCAAAACAACTTGAAGGTGGGATAACAATGGAGATTAAAAATTGAAGATCGACGATTTTTTTTCGGAAGCATAAGCAAGTTCACACCGACTTCACTCGCCTTTCTCGTGAATCTCGATGTAAGTTTCCGGAATTTGATGAATTTTCATTTAATTTTAATTTTTTGTGGATCTAGTTTTCGGATTTGATTTTGAGCTTATGGTGAATGAAATTGAAGCATTATTTGAGTTATTCAAAAAATTGAGTTGTACAATCATTGACAATGGCTTAATTTTTATTTTGAATCAAATTTAGTACTATATTTATGGTCAACATATTCAGTACAATGTTCTTATTATGTTCTTATTTACAAATGATGTTATTATGCTCCTATGTTATTAAGTTATTATTTGCAATCAAATTTAAAATGAGCAAATAAATTGAAAATTAGCAAACCTAAATATGGGTAATAATATAAAAAAAAAAATATAATGAGCAAACATAATTAAAATTAGCAAATACAAAAAGAAAAAAAAAAGAGCAAATAAGGAAAATAATTTGGTGGTGGTAGGGTGAGGGTGCGGGGACAGCAGCGGCGGAAAGGATGGTAAAATTAAACTGTGGTTATAAATAAAAATGAAAAAAAAGGTGAGATTGGTGACATTGTGTGAGCATATTTTGATGGGATAAGTTTTTGATGATTTGGTCTATGGTGAAATTGTACATGTACACTTTTTTTAAGTTATGACTTCTTGACCATATTGTTGTGTTTTTATTTTTAATTTGAGTATAATTGTTTCATCTTGTTGATGTTGCTAGGATAGTTTGTTTTGTTGGGGTTGTGCTTCCTAAATACTTATTTGCTCATTTCACAAATGAGCACTGGGTTATTTGCTCATTTGATAAATGAGAATTCAATTATTTGCTCATTTCCTAAATATGTGAAATAATATAGAAAAAATAAAATGAGCAAACATAATTAAAATGAGGAAATACAAACAAACAAAAAAATAAGCAAATATAAAAATGACCAAATGTGGAAAATAAGCTAGTGATGGTAGGGTGCAGGGGACAGCGACGGTGGCAGGGGAGTGACAGTGAGACAAGTTGTGGTGATGCTGGTGGTGGTGGTAGGGTGCACGAGCAGAGGAGGGAGAGAGAGTTTGGTGGTGGTGGTGATGGTATGGTGTAAGGAAAATGGTGAGAAATGGCAAAAATCAAATATATCATAGTTAGCAAATATATCATACATGTTCTATTATAGGTAGCAAAGTTGATTATTTGTTCACTTTTTGTTGCACAAGTATAGTGTTTTTTATGATTAGTAGTAAAATTATTTCACATGGTTTGAATTGGGAGTTCTTACATGTCATACTTTGTAGTGTAGAACATAGTCTACCTTCTGCTTTTTAACCCCTTATTCTGCCCCCCTACTGCTACCACCCTTCTACTGCTCCCCCTCTTCTCTTATTATGTTTTATCTTTGATTGTGTTATTGACTTGTTATTGAGCAAAATAGAATTAAAATGATTAAATATAATAGAAATGAGCAAACATAATTTAAAATGAGCAAATATAAATAAAGCTATATTTTCTACTTTATTATGTTCTTAACTTGTTTTTTGTAATATTCTGCAGAAATGATTAGCAACAACGAACAGTGTAATAGTGATTCTAGTGCGAATGGCATAAGGAGTATGTGTTATGGAACGTGGTTTCTGTTGCTGTACACGCGGTAAATTACAGGAAATCCATACAGTTGTGCTTTCCTATATAGCAATGAACATAGTACGACTATACGAGCAATCACTTTTGTTAAAGCTAAAACCCTGAGATTTCCTATTTGCAATGTAGTTAGATTTTAAATTTGCAACATGTCATATGTGAACCTATTAGCT